AATTCCTTGCTTACGTATCATTGGAAAGTGCATTAACATGAATACGGCAGTAAGAAGAGGTAATACAAAAGTATGTAAACTATAAAAACGAGTCAAGGTAGATTGTCCCACACTAGCACTGCCGCGCAATAACTCTACCACCGAGGATCCTATTACAGGAATAGCGTCGGGTACACCCGTTACAATTTTGACTGCCCAATAACCGATTTGGTCCCAAGGTAAGGAATAACCTGTTACACCAAAGGATGCAGTCAATACACCCAAAACTACACCTGTAACCCAAGTCAATTCGCGAGGTTTTTTAAAACCACCAGTGAGATACACGCGAAATACGTGCAAGATCATCATTAAGACCATCATACTTGCTGACCATCGATGAACTGATCGGATTAACCAACCAAAGTTAGCCTCAGTCATTATATATTGAACAGAAGCAAAAGCCTCCGTAACGGTTGGACGATAATAAAAAGTCATAGCGAAACCCGTCGCTACTTGGACTAAAAAACAAGTAAGTGTAATTCCTCCTAAACAATAAAATATATTGACATGAGGAGGTACATATTTACTAGTTATATCATCGGCAATCGCCTGAATCTCAAGACGTTCTTCGAACCAATCATAGACTTTATTGAGATAGGTAAACCAAGGGACCCCCCTGAGAACCGTATATGAGAATTTCATCTCGTACGGCTCAAACAAAAATACTCAAATACTGGTTATTTGGAAAACGGATACGTGTAATAGAAAGTCTTAAACTTTTTCACTTAATCCTATTATTCCAGTCTTTTTTGAAGATAAAAAAAAATAGAAATCCAAAAGCTATTCTTAGTGTTTATAATGTCAAAATTTCAAGTCGGCTCACTCGTCTTTTCTCTTGATCCTTACCGGCCTCTTGAATATTCTATTATTTACTTCATTTTTTTTGTATTGTGTATGTAATAAGATTTTACTGCTGTTTTTTTTTATGATTAATAAGAATTTTCTTGTTAAGACCCTATAGAATCAATTTAAAAACCTGAGATTCATACCAGAACCACGATGATTTCCCCAAAAAACCTTTAATCGAAGTCCATAAATTCCCTGAGTAAGAACTGCTGGATCATCATTTATTCAATTAATAGATAGAATGAAAAAAAAAAAGACAAAGAAATGATAAGCGGTGGCAGTTTTAAAGAATAAAATTCCATTTCTTTTTCTAAATGAATTCTTATAATTCTTTCATTTTTTTTCGTCCGGTTGCGAGGTCTAAATATCAATATAAATATGAAGTATGAATCATAGTTCTAACACTTTAGAATCTATTTATTTTCTATATTCCGTGCTCCAGATACTAGAATAAATATCTGACGGGGGAAAGCCATCTATCAAGATAAGATGACGTATCCATTTTCTGTTCTGTACTATCAATAGGATCCATTATAACAAGTCACACACTCATATTCCGGAAATACAGAAACAAAGAAGTTTCGCGGTCGAACTACCAAATCAAAATGGAATGGGCTAAAAATTAACGATTTAAATGCTAAACTTGACTTTTCGATTGAAAAGCTAGTTAGTTGGTTCTTGTGAATCTAATTCTCTAATTCATAGAAATTTGGTCCAGTAAAAGGGACGAATTATAAATCTCTAAAATAATAGAGAGAAATACCGCAAATAGGGCCATTGCAATCCCCATCAAAGGGGTAGTTCCCCACCCCGGAGCTACTTTACCATATTCTGAATTCAATGGTTTCAATAAATCTCCTACAACAGTTCGTCTTGGACCAGATCTAGAACTACCCTCAACGGTTTGTGTAGCCATAAATCCTATATATCTTTTTTTTATTGAGATCTGTTGACTTTGTATACCATTCCGCTGTAGATAAAGGATCGTACCCTATAGATCCATTGTAGTCTTGATATTCTATAATCATGGAAACAGCAACCCTAATTGCCATCTCTATATCCGGTTTAATTGTAAGTTTTACTGGGTATGCCTTATATACTGCTTTTGGGCAACCCTCTCAACAACTAAGAGATCCATTCGAAGAACATGGGGACTAGTTGAAGTAATGAGCCCCCAATATCGTAATATTGGAGGCTCGTTACTTCAATTGAGATAATTAAAAATCATTTTGTGTTTTTAGTTGGAACTTGAGGGGGTTCTCTAAAAAAAATAGCGAAAAAAATGATTCCTAAAGTCGAGACTAAGAGGAATGTATAAACCAATGCTTCCATAGATTTGATCGTGGTTTACAATTATAGCTTTCATACCTGTTTTGGGGGAATTATCTCCTGGATAAAGAAAAAGAAAGAACCAGAGTAAAACAAAATGGAATGATTGAAATCAATATTTCTCTAGTTCCCTATATCAAATTCAAATAACAACAAAAAAAGTCGAATCGAAAAGGAACAAACCTATTTCTATCAGACTCCCTGTTTTTTTGTAGTTGGATCTCCAAGTTTTTGGAATGCTCCAAATTCTACTTGCGCATCCAAATCTGGATCAATACCAGCAAAAACATCTCTGAACAAGGTTCTAGCACCATGCCAAATGTGCCCGAAAAAGAAGAGCAGAGCAAACGAAGCATGTCCAAAAGTAAACCAACCCCTTGGACTGCTACGAAAAACACCATCTGATTTTAAAGTAGCACGATCTAATTCAAAAATTTCACCCAATTGAGCACGTCGAGCATATTTTTTCACAGTAGCAGGATCACTATAACTGACTCCATTGAGTTCACCACCATAGAATTCAACAATTACACCGACTTGTTCGACACTATACTTTGATTCTGCCCTTCGAAAAGGAACATCCGCTCTAACAATTCCGTCTCCGTCTACCAAAACAACCGGAAATGTTTCAAAAAAAGTAGGCATACGACGTACAAAAAGTTCACGCCCCTCTTTGTCTCTAAAGATAGGATGCCCTAACCAACCAACCGCTATTCCATCTCCATTGTCCATTGAGCCCGCTCTAAACAAACCCCCTTTTGCCGGATTATTACCGATGTAATCATAAAAAGCTAATTTTTCAGGAATTTTAGACCAAGCTTCTGATAAACTTTGATTTTTGACTAGCCCAGCACCAACTCTTCGATATATTTCTTGCTGGAAGTATCCCTGATCCCATTGATAACGAGTAGGACCAAATAATTCAATCGGGGTAGTTGCTGAACCATACCACATAGTTCCAGCAACAACAAAAGCTGCAAAAAATACAGCAGCGATACTACTGGAAAGGACGGTTTCAATATTTCCCATACGCAATCCTTTGTATAAACGTTGAGGTGGACGCACACTAAGATGGAAAAGACCCGCTAATATGCCCAATGTCCCTGCTGCAATATGATGAGAGGCTATTCCCCCCGGAACAAAAGGATCAAAACCGTCCACACCCCATGCGGGATTTACAGATTGTACCCTTCCTGTTAGTCCATAAGGATCGGATATCCATATTCCAGGACCAAATAATCCTGTTACATGAAAGGCGCCAAAACCAAAACACGCCACCCCTGCAAGAAATAAATGAATTCCAAATATTTTTGGTAAATCCAAAGAAGGTTTTCCAGTACGTTCATCACAAAAGATTTCTAGATCCCAATAGACCCAATGCCAAATAGCCGCCAAAAAGCACAAGCCCGAAAACACAATATGTGCCGCGGCCACACCTTCGTAACTCCAAATACCCGGATTCGTTATAGTGCCTCCTGTGATATTCCAACCACCCCACGAATTGGTTATTCCTAAACGAGTCATGAAGGGTATAACGAACATACCCTGTCTCCACATTGGGTCAAGAACCGGGTCAGAGGGATCAAAAACTGCTAATTCATATAAAGCCATCGAACCGGCCCAACCAGCAACCAGAGCTGTATGCATTATATGGACAGAAAGTAAACGGCCGGGATCATTTAATACAACGGTATGAACACGATACCAAGGCAAACCCATGAAAATACCCCTTATATCAACAAAAAATAGACACTATGTAACTTTATTGCACTGTAAAAAACTATGCTATGGCCCTTCCCCTTATTAGTAAATTATATCGCATGAAATAATTTATATTTGTTCTAGTTTTTTAGAAACAAAGGAACATTCTATTCGTTGGAACAAAAAGAAGCAGATCTATTCTATATCCGATAAGTAACAATACGCAATGGCAATGGTGGTGGGGTTTAGTTTTTTTTTTTTATATGCGTGTTTATATCAGTGAATGCAGACACTGGATACTAATACAAGAACAACAAATCCCTTTTTTCGTCAAAAGAAAGATTCGTTGTTCGTGTATTAGACACAAAAAAAAAGTCTACGGGTCTTTCTTGGTTTAATTACAAAGATAGAGCTTTCTATATATATAGAAGACTTTCTTATACTAGAACTAGAAGCTGAGGGTTCTTTACATTCATTATTAGCTTCGGACTATAAACTGAGGATCAATGAAAATGTGAATAGGATTAATTGGTTTCTAATAATATAATTCATGAAGCAAAGAAGAATATTTCTAGAATTCAATTCGATAGGAAATATAGAAATATACTTTTTTTGGTTGTCGGAGATCCTTTTTGTTAGAATCCCCTCTTTCATTTTAAAGAATTCAATTCATTAGTCGTCCAGTAACACGTAACAAGAATAGCAGTAGAGACATATCCAAGAACGACCTATTCATCAAAACTTTCCTTTAGTCTTCTTTTTTGATGTTATTTGGCGAAATAAAAATGATTTTGAACAAAATCAACTCATTCTGTCTCCGGATGTTCTCACACCAAAGCAAAATCCGGTCGACAATTTCCATTCCAGTTTATGCCGGTAGGTGTTCCCAAAGTAGCCTTTGATGTTCCCGGCGAGGATGAAGCTTCTTGGATTGACTTATACTATCGACTTTTTCACGAAAGACTACTTTTTTTAGGTAAAGAGGTTAGCAGTGAAATATCAAATCAACTCGTCGGTATAATGGTATATCTAAGTTTAGAGAACAAGAACAAAGATTTGTATATGTTTATAAATTCTCCAGGCGGAGGGATTCTATCTGGAATGGCAATTTTTGATGTTATGCAATTTGTAGAAGCAGAAGTACAGACAGTATGCGTAGGATTAGCCGCTTCAATGGGATCTCTTATTTTGTTAGGAGGAGAAATTACCAAACGTCTAGCATTCCCTCATGCTTGGCGCCACTGATTCTTATTTGTAGAAAAAAAAAAGAAGACTATGTCTACGCCAGTATTAAGTCAAAAAAGCATGGCACTTTGAGTTCGATATGCAAAAATAATTTTTTTTTTTTCAAAACCATTAGATTATATATCGAAAGAGTAGTGTGAAAAAGGGGTATTTACTATTTTATCTGATCTATCGGAGCCTCTTTTAGTGTTACAATTTTTTGGACTTATTTGAAAAAAAGAAACTTTGGGATTGCTGAATCAAAAACTAGAAGAAATAAGATAGCAACGGAATCATCATAGTCTTTAAAAAAGATTCTCAAAAAAAAAGAAGGGTGGTTATTAGATTCTTTACTGATCTGGGTCTGATAAACCCGGTATATTTTTTTTTGTATTTTTTCAATGAAGGGTCAAAAAAATGAAAAATTGAAAGTAGAGCCGTATGCTATATAAAAAATAAAGAAAAAAAGAGGCTAGCCTGTACGGCGAAAAAGAAATTGAAGTTCTTTTTTCTATCTCTTCATTCTTTTTTTTTACGGTAAGATTAAGAGAAATAAACCTTAATTATAGTATACTCTCAGGGTAATGCTGCATCAACCTGCTAGTTCTTTTTATGAGGGAAACACGGGCGAATCTATGATGGAAGTGACGGAAATAATGAAAATGCAAACAACTATGATAAATATTTATTGCCAAAGAACAGGCAAACCTTCCTGGCAGATATATAAAGACATGGAAAGGGATTTTTTTTATGTCAGCAGAAGAAGCCCAAGCCTACGGAATAATTGATACAGTAGCGGATTCTTTGTAAATCCAAAATTTGCATAAAATCTTTATTCCCTTTTTGATCCTAATAAATGAGAATATTTTCTTTCTACTATTTCTGATGCTTCTTTCCTAACGTACCGACTAAATGCAGAATTATAATTTGATGTTGTCTTTTATCTTTTTAATCACCCGATTTTATAGAGTCCTTATCAATTTGAAAATTATCAGGTTAGGATTGATCCAAACCAGCTCATTATGTATATGACTCCCCATGCCAACTATAAACCAACTTATTAGAAACACAAGACAGCCAATCCGGACTGTAACAAAATCTCCCGCTCTTCGGGGATGCCCTCAACGCCGAGGAACATGTATTAAGGTGTATGTGCGACTCGTTTAGATCATATACTGAAATTAAAAAATATATTCAATTAATAAGAATTGTATATATATAATTCTATTGTGTATAAAATTTATGCTTTCTCAATTGGTGCAAACCAAATTACCTTAATTTTGAATTTAAGATGAAATATACTTTTCCCATTGGTAACAAAAAGTGATCCATTAAGCGGGAAAAATCCTCTTTGAAATAAAGACAAATTATGCCCTAATTTTAGCAATAACGGACTAAGAGGGTCAACTACCCAGCTAATCTTCATACTTAAATACCGTTACTGTATAGCTAGATTTTATTGTGAAAGACCTATTACTATATATTCAATGGGTAGAGCTAAGAAGTGTGAACTGTACAAGTTCACAATAACATTGATTGAATCAAGATTCAATGAAGGAAGGGGCTCCGGTGTATAGAGAGGACCTCACCGTTTAACAAGTAATCATAGAAACGATGGAACCCACGATTTCTTTGTTTATTTCTATTTTATTTACTATGTTTTTTTGAATACCTAGTATCAATAGAAGTTATTATTAAGAGTTAAAATACTTATACTTAGAAAAAACGAAAAAAAAAAATAGTGGTTGGGAAGGTTATAGTAGCAAAAGCCATTGGAATTTATATTTTCCACATTGGAAGAATCCATGTTGTTCGTAATAGACTAGAAAGGATAAAAGAATAACTGAAAGAAAAAAATTAAATAGTTATTAATCAAAGTCTCATTTATCCAATGAACAGAATTAAACGAGGATCTATCGCGAGAAAACGGAGGACAAAATTGAGTTCCTTTACATCAGGCTTTCGCGGAGCTCATTCAAAACTTATTCGAATTATTTTCCAACAGAGAATAAAAGCTTTGGTTTCGTCTCAACGGGATAGAGATAAGAAAAAAAGGGACTTTCGCAGTTTGTGGATCAGTCGAATAAATGCAATAATAAGCCAGAATAAAGAAAAAATATACTATCGCTATAGTAATTTAATGTATAATCTGTACAAGAATCAATTGCTTCTTAATCGTAAAATAGTTGCACAAATAGCTAGATTAAAGGGGAATTGTCTTTTTATGATTGCCAACGATATCATTCAAAAATAAAAATTCCCCGGAGACTTAACTCCGGGAAGGTGGTAGAATAAAATAGATTTGTATGATAAAATAGAATTCATATGAATTAGAAAAAGAAATAATCAACCACGCTCAAAAAACAAAAAAAAAACTACCAATCCGCATAAACTTTGAGTTTAGATTCAATTAATTATTAAATTAATTGAAGTAACGTAACTCTATTTTTTTTTTTTTTTAAGAACAGGAGGAGTAGCTCTAGTAATCGACTTGATTTTTTCATATTTTTTTTTTGCATTTTTAACAAAAGGTGACGAATTTACAAAAGGTAACAAAGATAAAATACGAGCTTGTTTTATAGCAATCGTAATCAATCGTTGTTGTTTTAAGGTCAATTTATTCACACATCTAGGTATAATTTTTCCTTGTAGCGTGATAAATTCGAAAAGTAAACTCAAGTTTTTATAATCAATTCGATCCCCAGATTGGATTAGGGGCGAACTCCTACGAATTGATTGCTTCGATTTAACAAACAGTCGCTTAGATTTCTCCATGGTTTGTTTATTCCTATACCGAAAATCCCGTTTGTTTTATAAAAAAAGGATTTGTTTTAGTTATATTCTTATTTTTTTTTGTAATATATTTGGAAAATATATGCTATATAATGATCTATGTATATAATTTTATGTTATAGAATGTTATTTATATAATATAGATAAGATAATTTATCTGGTATCTATATAATTAATTTTTATGTATTTTTTCAATTTACCTCCTTAAGGGTGACACACAAGTAATCCATTTTCTCTATTTCTTGATCTCTGCGTGAATCATATGTTTGCAACAAAAGGGACAGAATTTTCTCAATTCCAATCGACTAGGCGTATTGTGTCGATTCTTTTGAGTAATATATCGAGAAATACCTCTAGATTCCTTATTAACACTCTTTTTATCACAACTAGTACATTCTAAAATAACAGTTATTCGGATATTTTTACCCTTAGCCATAAACCTCCTTTGGTTTTTTTATTCACTTAACTCTTCGATTTTAAGATTCGAAGGGAAGAAGAAAAAAGGAACGAAAAAAAAGATAAGTTGATAATTCAAAATCAAATTATGAAATATTTTGTTCCAATTAATTTTATATAGTACAGTAATAATTCACTACTACAATGCTTTCGAAATAGATTTCGAATCCAGAGTCTAGTATTTCAGTTTTTATTGAAATATCTTGTATGATATTATTGCCCCTACCCTAACAATTCCATTTCTGGTCTTACTCTTAATAATTAAGAATAGCAATGGAATTGAAGTATTAATTCAATTCCATTGAAACGAAACGTGGGAAAAATTCCAAATTTCACTGAGGCCAAATCCACCTTTCTTAATTTCCTCTTTTTTTTTTTGAACTTATTCTAGTATAATTCGAAAAAAAAAACGAACGAAGAGGGATTTAATCACAGATATTTTATTGGATCTCTAATCTTCGTCACCCCTTCCCGTGCCAATAACTAGAATCAAAAAAAAGGGAATGTCAATGCATCCGGGAATAAACGATTGATTTCTATCAAGAGACCTGCTAGAGCCGCGAACCATAAAGTACTTGCCACTGGTGCCACAGAGAGATATGTTTTTAGATCTCGCATTTCAAATCCTCCTTCGTTTTTTCTTGTAATTTGTAATACATAATAATACAGAATTACATATAGGAATATGATCCAATGTTTTTTTTTCTTAATAAAACCACTTGGATTTCTCGGGGGAAGTCCGAATCCAATTTGAATTGTACAACAATGAATTAGATCTTTTTTTATAGAGTACTATTTTTATATTCTTAATTTTATTTATTCAAATTGTTATCTTCTAATAACTATATTATTATATATTTTTTGAAATTATGAATTCTATGAAATATTAAAATAATATTTGAAATTATTCTATTTTTCATATATCAATTCTATTTTCTATATTATTTGTATATTCTTTGTTCTTGTTATTATACTTTTTCTATCTTATTATTTATAGATTCTATATATTCTCTGTTTTTCATTAATTGAATATAAATATTCTATAAGAATATTTGATTCGATATCTTATTTCTACGATCGATATAAGAAAGTAAAAAAACAAACAAAATGGCAGGATATAGATAATGGAAAAATGTGGAAAATAAGACAAAAATTCTTTAGAATGACAATGGAAACTGATGTAAAGGGATGTAGCGCAGCGTGGTAGCGCGTTTGTTTTGGGTACAAAATGTCACAGGTTCAAATCCTGTCATCCCTATCCCTAATATCATATCAGCAGTAACAAGAGATCAATTTTGAGCAATTGAAATTGTACATACATACTCAATATGAATAGTTCTCCATATTTAGTTTGTATGCATGCATGCAAGATATATTGCCATCACATCAAATTATTTAGGAAAAGAAAGCGCTCTTAGTTCAGTTCGGTAGAACGCGGGTCTCCAAAACCCGATGTCGTAGGTTCAAATCCTACAGAGCGTGATACCATTCTTCTGAGAATGAGACTAAAATAATGGGATAACAGTCTAAGTCTAATCAAAAGTGTTAATTTGATCTCCTGTGAATTAGGATTCAAACAAAAAAATAGGAAGTCAATAAACAAAAGAGACAGTACTAAATCAAATATCCAACTGATCGCCACGTCGGTATTGTAAATAGGCCGTTACAAATAATCCAGCCAAAGTAATAGGAATTAGACCTAACACGATTCCAAATAGAAAAACTTCAATCATTTGAGTTTGGTTGAAAGTAAAAAAGGTGGGGGTAATATCGATCCTTAAATATGAATTTATATTGACCATGAATCTCAATGACCAAGAATTGGAAATATGATAAGGAACTATAGAATATCTACAATTTCCAAATTTCTCTCAAAATTGCAAATCAAATAAGTCGTATCTTATTCAGACTGATAAAAATACCTGCGGTTATAGTTAAAACCGCTAGTAGAAAACCGAAATAACTGGTTAGAGTGGACATAAGGAAACTAGATGAAATATATTCTTTTTATACATATGTTTATAAAGCACTTTCCTAAGTTTCCATTTTTTTTTTTTTAGATAAAAATAGGAAAAGAAGCAAAAAAGACCACTTGAAAGATACAATGGAAAAGAATTGATTCATGAATCAATTATTACGGACAAACAAAAAGAAAAATATAGTTACATAGGTAAAAAATCAATTCATCATCTGTGACATCTACCCAACCTGTGATTCCAAATCAACAGATTTCTTGATCAACTCATGACATGAGTTGAGTAAACTAATCGAAGGAAAATTGTTTTATTTATTTATATAATTATATATAATATAACGTATATATATAATATAAATAATATAAAGTCCATATATATAGTCTTAAACTTTGAGGAATTTTCGATTCAGTACATCGAAACAAACAACCAGGAAAAAAAGAAATTTTCTTTTGTAGTACTCGATCTCGTCACTTATTGTGAAATTTCGTTGCTGTGTTAGAAGAAGGATAGCTATACTGATTTGGTATACTGGAACGAGACCCTTGGTACACGATTGACGATCGTAACAAAGATTGAAAATTTCAG